GGCACATTAATGACAGCCATAAACTACCATTTTGACAATCAAACTGAAGGTCTTTACAGGCTGCTATTTTTTGGTGGAACTGTGTATCATCATTGTGAAGCCCAAGGAAGCCATTGCAAGAATCACCTGTGATATGCTGATCACCGCCACCTTTGCTCCTCCTGTTGTAGAAGCCATTGGAACTAGGGCTGAGATGTATGGGGGGCAGGATTTTTCTAGGTCTTCACAGCAGCTCATTCCGTGGTTGGGGATCTGCTAGTGGTACAGTGAGAACAGCTGCTGCTGGGTCGCTGCTTAAAAGAGGGAGAAGCTAGCCAGCTACGCCCTTCTGCAGCAGCTTCCTGATGCTATGTAGGACTCTGCCTTGGTCCATTCCAACTCCAACTGCAGCAACTTCCATATGAATAGAAATAAGCACCCCGGTCAGTGGCCGCAGCATCACAGTGATCACTACCTGCAATCCACTCAGGTAGGTAATCATGTTGCTGGGGAGGGTGGCAATCTACTCTGTCAGAGCCTGATTCTTCAATAATACGATATTATCATACATCACAAGAAAGGAAGCAACCATGGCAATACGGACAAATTTGTCCTGAGAACCTGAGCCAGCAGAAGTTGGTCATGTTGCAATCCCCTCCATGTGACATCCTAAAGAGGGAAGGTGGGTGATATTGAGCATAGATGGAGTGAAGGAAAGGTAAGTGGGAGAAGCTGGTCATTTAACGAGTAATAGGGAAGAGTCATGTCAACTAAATTGATTTTTACATTAAATTTCTGGTTTTGCCACTCAAACTTTCAGTTGTGCTCATCAAACTGCTTTGGCTGCTATAACCCCCAGGATCCATTTAATGCCCATTTTAAGCTTAAACCCAGAGTGTCCAGAGTCTATGCAAAATGTGCTTGAAGCAGGTCAAATGCAAGTTAGGAGGAGGTCAACTGCAGGTCAAATGCACCTAACAATGAATTCTGAATGTATCAATGTGAAAATGTATCAAACTGATAACAAATTGATGCCATCACCAAAAGCCCAAAGTTGGTCAACTTAATTTGACCTTCCACATTCGGGTCTATTCACTAAGCTGCCGAGGGCAGCCGAGTGGACAACCGACCCCAAGTGAAGTGAGCTGAACACTGTTCAGCTATACACTTCAGGCTGGTACGGCTGATTTCAGCCGTACATCGGCTGAAATCAGCCGTACATCGGCAATGGCCAGCCGCTCGGCCAGCTTCGGCTTTCAGCGCAGCTCAGCCGAGCCGAGGCATATGCGTTCGGCTCGACTGAGCCGCTCGGCCACGTTCGGGAGCTGTACGGGCTATTGTGAATAGGCCGTACAGCACCCCTTCGGTTCTACTGAACCGAAGGGGTCCTGGGGCCGAAGCTAGCCGAAGGATCGGCCGAAGCTAGCCGAAGGATCGGCCGAAGCTACGGCTAGATCCTTTGGCAGCTTCGTGAATAGACCCCATTATTTCCAAGGCATTTTTCCAAAATAGTAAAATTCCATCAAAATCTCACGATTTTAACCCTCATTTCAGGAAGAAGGAAAACTTATATCTTGCTCATCCCTAGCAGTTAACTGAACATTTTACTTTGCTCTACACATTCAAAGTACAGGTTCATTTTAAGGTAAATTGAGGAGAATTTCTGGTTTTAGCACAGCTGATTGCATTTGTATTTTACAGAGATGAGATCACCTTTTTGCCATTTATACCGTAATTTTGAGCCAAACCTCCGGCAGGCTACTCACTGCCGTTCGGCCTATTCTCATGGGGGCCGAAAGGCAGTGAGTAAATAGCCGCTGAGCGGCATTCGGGTCGGCTATTCTGCTCGGTACCTCTCTGGTACTGAGCAGAATAAAAAAAACAGTGAAAAAAGGTTTTTAAAAAGTAGGAAAAAAAATGTTTACAGATGTAAATAAATGATACATTTTTAAAAAGAAAGATTTAAAAAAAAGAAAAAAAATCAAAGATTATTGAAAAAAGAAAAATAAATAAAGATTATTGAAAAAAGAAAAAAAAATTAAAAAAGAAAGAAACAATAGGACGGAGCTAGCAATGACAACTAGCTCCGCCCAACTGTTTCCTATTGGCCTGGAACTGCCAGAGTCTTCTAGCAAGTCCCAGCCAATGAAAAACAACTGGGCAGAGCCAAGCGTGACATCACGGCTGGTTCCGCCAAGTTGTCATTGTTTCATGACAATTCAGTGTCCCCTGTTAACCTGGGGACGCTGATCTGTCATTGCAAGTGGGCGGAGCAAGCTGTGAGATCATGGCTAGCTCCGCCAAGCTGTCAGTTGCAAGGCTTTTGGCCCTCTTCGGGTTTCACTTCGGCTCAGATGAGCCGAAGCATATGCCTTCGGCTCGCTGAGCTGCTCGGCCAGCTTCGGGAGCTGTACGGGCTATAGTTAAATATATCCGGTGGCCGAAGCTAGCCAAAGGATCAGCTGGAGCTACGGCTGATCCTTCGGCTAGCTTTGTGAATAACCCTCCAGGTGTTTACACCCCCTTCTTGTCCAGGCCATTTTTCAGTGTTCAGCGCTGCAGTACTTCGATTGACATTTATTCCGTCATTGCAACGCTGTACTGAAATTCATTTTATACCATTTTTGGGGACAGATAGAGCTTTCTTTTGGTGGTATTTAATCACCACTGGGGGTTATATTTTTTACTATATTAAGGAAAAATTACAGACAATTGTGAAAAACAAAAAGTTTTTTTTTACATTATGTTATAATACATTTATTATTACCCAATTTTTTGGTAAAATATAAGAGACGGGGTCACATCGTGTAAATAAACACTAAACCTGTCAAGCTTTAAAATTGCGCGCACCCGCAAAATCGCAAAAAAACTACCATACCCAAAATTGACCATAGGCAATGCTTTAAAAGGTTTTACCGCTCATCAGTTTAGTGTTATCAGTGATTAATGGCCCTACAATTATTGCTCTCCCTGCGATGTTCGCGGTGATATGTAACATGTGCGGCTTAATGGGCGCAACCGTAGTTTTCGCACGTATGCACACCTGACGCATCTTTGCACGCGTGTATGTATAGGTATAAACTACGATGTTCTAGTTGAACTGTTGTTGGATTCGAACATCAAACTCATCCCTACCAGGGACACTCTGACCGGAAAGGGGGCAGCAGGCACACTGCAAACATTGGGCAGCCATGCCGCTCTGCCTGCCTGCCTTCCCCCCCCCCCCCCCCCCAGGGCACC